TTTTTTTACCTTCAGTTTTTCGCGGGGCAATTTTTCTTTTCACTTGCTTCTGTCTCTCATTGGCTTGCCCTTGTACTTGTCGTTTTTCCCACCTCTGGAACTTGTAACTGCGGTGTCTGCCGTACCGGATCCTGCAAAAGATCTGAAAAGATTTGCATTTTATTACGGTCATAGAATGGTTTTATCTGGTCAATGTTTGCGGAACAGGTTTCACCATTTCTTGCCTTTAACACTACAACAGCGTGAGTTATTTTTTCTATAAACATATGGTCCTTCAAAGCGTGGAAAAAATTTGGCAGTTTTATCTTCTGGTGCTGAAGAAAGTGAATGCTTAATTTTTAGTACTTCATCCCCTACTTTATAAGTTACTCCCCGTCGTTTCAAGTCATAATACATTTTTTTTGTTTTCTTTGTGCTACTTCCGTATTCTTTTTTGCTTCTTTTATTAGTTTTTCTATATCACCCATTTTAAATTCTGGGGCTCTTTGTTGCACATAAAATAGTTTATCTAACAGTGTTATAACCTTTCTGCCTAGAAATAACTCAGCAGGAGTTAACTCAACATTAAAACATGATACAACGGGCAGTTTTGCCCGTTGTATCATGTTTTGCGGTCCTAAGGGCGAAAGCAAATTCATTGACATAGTTATCCCAGCTTTTATGAAAATTTTTAACATAACTACGGATAATTTTCACTATATTTCTGTTGACCCGTTCCGCTATATTTGATTGCGGCCGATACGGGACCATTTTTAAATGACTATGCCCAGTTTTTGGCACATGTCTTCAAATATATTACTTACAAATTGAGGACCATTATCCGATATAACTTTTAGGGGCGCCCCGTATTTTAAAATATATTTATTTAAAATAGAATCGGTAACTAATTTCGCGGAGGCTCGTTTTAAGGGAACAATTTCGGTCCATTTACTAAAATGATCAACTATAACAAGGAGATAGCGACTTTTGTTTAACTGACTTTTTGGGAAAGGGCCCAATAAATCGATGCCGATTATTTCATTTGGAAATTCGGATTTAATACTATTAGAAACCCGGCCGGGTGGAAATTAATATAATTAACGGCTTGACATGTTGGGCAGGACTGGACATACGCCCTTGTTAACTTTGCAGTTCAGGAAAGTAGACTGCCTCGCGTACGCGTTGAGTAGTTTTTCGAATACCAGCATGAGAAGCTAAAGGGCTGTCATGGAGCTCTTGCAGGATATTTAATCTAAGACTAGCTGGGATAACAGGTCGAAATTCGTTGTTGGAATTCGTAGTTTTTGTATAAAATAATAGACCATCTATTAGTTAGTTCGTAATGGGCCGCCCTATTTCTTATCGCCACAATATCTTGGTGGCTAAAATTTTCAGGATCCTTCAAAAACTCATAAATACTTCCAAACTCAGGATCCTTACCCAGTTCGGTTATTACAGTTTCTCGGGAATTGATTGTACACGCTGTCAGCATTGCAACTTTTACGGTATTACCCTGTTCGTCTAATTTAATTCGTGACAGGGCATCTGCTACGATATTTTCCTTTCCGGGGGTATGCTTGATTACCAGATTATATTCTTGCAGCTTGAGTGCCCATCTTATTAACCTTGGGGATAAATTTTTTCCAGAGTACAATCTAGTTACCGCCGCATGATCAGAATATACTGTTATCGGCGCCTTTCCAAAATAGACTCGGAACTTTTGCACTGCTAACAGAACTGCAAGTGCCTCTCTCTCGGTCGCGGAATAGTTTCTTTGTGTTTGATTTAAAGTTCGGCTAAAAAATGCCACTGGCTGCTGATTTTGCGAAAGTACCGCTCCTACCGCATAATCCGAAGCATCCGCTGAAATTTCTAAATTTTCATCCTTTTCAGGAAATTTCAACACAGGGGGCTTGCGTTAATGCTTGTTTTTAATTTTCGAAAGCACTATTGGCTTCGGCCGTCCACGAGAATCTTGCCTTTTTCCTTTTTAATTTTAAACAATGGCTCAGCGATAGCCGCAAAAATCTTTTATAAAGGACCTATAATATGAACAAAGTCCTAGAAAAGAAGAGAGCTTTGCCGTGTTTGGAGTCGGATACTTTTGTACAGCGATTATTTTTGATTCATCTGTCTCGATCCCTTTTTGCGATATTTTGTAACCTAAATATTTTAATTCAGGGGCTGCCAAATTGCATTTTTTCGACATTAACTTTTAGACGACCGGCCTCATTTTAATAAAGAAAACACCTGTCTTAAATCCTGTACATGTTGGTCTAGATTATCACTAGTAATAATGATATTGTCTAAATAGATAAATGTGGACTTTCCGAGAACAGGTCTTAACACAATGTCCATGCATCGCTGAAATGTTGCTGGGGCGCCTGAAAGGCCAAACGGCATTCGCAAAAATGCATAAAGTGCCAGACTTGGTTATAAAAGCAGTCTTAGGCACGTCCTCAGGCCGGATCCCTATTTGAAAATAACCATTCGTTAAGTCTAAAGTTGTCATAAATTTGGTTGATTTATGTTCCTTAAAATTTCTTCTATAATCGGTAACGGATATACCGGATATTTTCGTTATGGAATTTAATTTACGGTAATCAATAGCGAATCTCCACCTTTTTGGATGCTCCAAAGGATAATCATTATTTTTTCTTACATAAAACCACCGGACTAGCATAACTACTTGAGATAGGCGTTACGATCTTTTTACGTAGCATATCGGTAATATGCCCATTTTATAATTTTTTTCCTTATTCTTATCATACCGGTATGGTTTTTGACGAACCGGCAATGCATCTCCTCGGTGTCAATACTATGGTTAGTAACCTGGGTAAATCCTGGAATATCACTAAATAAAGGAAGCAAATTCACTTACCACTTGTCGGATTCTATCTTGCTCGTCATTAGGCAGGTGGTCGAGATTTTTAACCTTGGCGGTTCAACCTTTTCTACACGCACTGGTTTCATCGTCAGCTTAAGAGACTCTTCATTAAAATCCAGTGTAGCTTGTGCGTCTGAAAGAAAGTCTATTCCTAGTATTAAGTGTGCTTGCAAATTCTTTACTATAAAAAACATCACCTTTACTTGTTCGTCCTTGATACGGATGTACAAAGGTACTTTACCTACGCACTTACATTGTTCTCCTTGCGCCGCTAATACTGTTGTATTATCCGCATTATATATGCGGTATTGCGAAAATACTTTCTAAAAAAAACTTCTGCCACACAGGAACACTGCGCGCCGGTATCCAGGAGTGCGGTGGCCGGGATATTATTTACCAAGACTTCAATCTTCGGAAGAGTTAAATTTTTCACCATTACTGTATTTAACTTGTAGGAAGAGGGTTTTCGTGGGCCTTCGGATTTCCGCCCTCTCGTCAGCAGAAATCCGTTTTAGTTTAAATTATTTTTCCTTTCGGTGCTTCCTTCTTTCTCTGTCACTGGCCTTGAGACTTTTTTCCTCCTGGGTTGCTATTGAACTGTCGACGTTCGCCGGCTGTTTTTGAATGCTCGGGTTTCCTTGCCCACTGATTCGCTTTTTCTCCGTAGAGCCATGTGCTGAGTTTGCTGTAGTCTTGCGTACCAAATTGGTTTCGCTGTTGATATTGGCGTCTTCTTTTTTCGACGTCCCGCCGTTCTTCTACTTTCAAACTGGATTGCTAGCTCAAATAATTTTTCCAGTGTAGTCGGATTTCTCAATTCAATAAAGTCTTGCACTTGGGGGTAGTAACCTCGGCAAAATCACTTGAATTATTTCAGGATCCGGACGGTTTCCATACAAGAGCTTGAAAACGTGAATTTTTCTTAAAATAAAACTCGAGATGTTTTCCATTCTTTGTTGATATATACTGAAAAGTTCTGTTTCTAATTTCGCACGATCCCTTACAACAGGGAAGGCTTTAGTAGGGCAGTCTTGAAATTTTCGTAGGTATAGGTGGGACTTCCTGCTTGACCCAAAGAGCTTCTGCCGATACATTTGAACCAGTTAAGCGCTTGGCCCCTCAAAGCGCTGGTAGCTAAGGTAACTTTTTGAAAACTTGTGCACGGGGTAGAGCATGAAGTGGTCATACCAATTTTTCCAAAAAAACTGGTTACCTGTGAGTTTCCATTAAACGTTGCTTCTGGTTTCATCGAAGCGCGCATGGTCTGGACAATATACCCAAATCCTTCCAGGGCGGCAGCTGGCATTTCTGGATTCTGAGATGTTTCTGTTTCTGCAGGCAGCACAGGTTCTTCTTGAAACTCGGCCATGGTTATTCTTCGTCGGGCGCCACTATCAGGTTCAATGTTTCTTCTAACCTTCTTCGGAAACATACAATGACCTGACTAGAACAGAGAGCTTACTAAAGCTATGTTCACTAATTGTAGTAAGTAGACAGGATACAGACGAAGGGTATACAAAAACCCTTTATTTTTTCTTTTATATACAATGACTTCCGTACTTCGGAATACAATGACCCTCCACTCGGGGTCTAACTTAAAAGATATCAAAATAAAACTAAACTCTAATTTAACTTTAGAATAAGATTGGCCTTATAATAACAGAAAGCGTATGTAGCACAGAGACTGTGAACACTACAATACGTTTAATTTATCAAGAGGATTAAAACCCTTGGCCTGGAAGGCAAAGTAGCAACTGCGTAACTTCTAAGGTAAGCGGCCCTGCTTCTTTCGAACTCACGGCTTCCTCTCTCTTCTGCCTTGCTTGGCAAAAAGGCCACACTTAAATACTTGGCGTTCGCCAGAACAACTTTGCATAAACTCCTTCACGCTTATAATTCTGGCCGGAAGTAGAAAATAAGAAGTGATAGTAAAGATTTAAAATAAAATAAACGTTAGTAAAACTTAAGATCCTTACACTTTGACTTGCAAAAATCGCCGCTACACAAAGCAAAAGCAACAAGTCAAAGAATTGCTCAAACTTTATATCTATGTACTGCCAAAAATCGCTATCTTTTGCCAAGAGGCACCCGTAGCTTCTTTCACTTTCTTGAGCACCTTTCTAAGATTTTCTGAATGTCCTTTAGAACTCTTCCTGACAATGGTGATGCCATCCAGGTATATCAGATGGTTGCTGTAGGAAATACCTCTCAACATGGTCTCTGTGAGGCATTCAAATGTTGCCCAATGCATTACATAATCCAAATGGCATCATCTTGAACTGCCAAAGTCCTTGTCTGGTCCCAAAAGCTGCCTTTTCTGAGTCATCATGATGTGTCTCTACCTGCCAATATCCAGTCTTAAATATCCAGTCGAAAACCACTTGCTTTCAAAGTGTCTAGAATGTTGTCAATTCTAGGAAGAGGTTGACTGTCTTTCTCTGTAATCTCATTCAACCAGCAATAGGCAGCACAAAATCTAGTTGAACCAGCTTTCTTAGTTGCCCGCTTGGTGATATCTTGCCAAATTAGCAAGATAGCCATTTACTCATTGTTAAGTAGACTTCCCCCTATAGTCTTACTTTTGCAGCATACTTCCTCTCTGTAGATTTTCATGTTTTATTACACAGAAAAATGAAACAGTTTCACATATATTTGCACTAAAATGATCTACCTGTGTGCAAAATTCATAACAGTATGTACAAAAACACAGTAAGCAAATTTGAATATATAGATGACCTATGATACAATATGTGTGACAAATAAATTTTAAAAAGAAAAAGTACAATATACATAAAATTAGGTATATGGTGTTTGAGGAATATTACATAACTTACAGAAAGTAGAAATATTTATTTATATAATGCAGAATGTTTTATGGAACATATCCTGTATTAGAAAAGGGCAGTCCTGCACATTAGAAAATAACTTAGTTTTAAATGTGTGATAGTAATTTTTCATTATTCAATTTGACATTAGATTTGCCAGTTAATAGCCTCAAGATTATCAGAAATTTTTGCTGTTAGTATCGATTTTGGCCTGTCAGAGTTTGGAATGTAATATGAATTGTCCTAAGTGACTTCATTTTAAAATTTTAAATACATATTTGTTGGTTTTCAGATTAAAAATACAAATGTTTTTCATATTATTAAAAGAATATTTTAATCACATTTTCCTTATGCTAGAATTCTGAATGTTTGTTAGATTTCTTATAAATCATTACAATGTTTTTAAATTTTTATTAAAAAGTGATTATATTTTTATGGAATTTGAACTGTTATTTATTTACTTATTAATTCATCATATAGGTGTTCTATAATAAGGCAAATGTAAAACAAGTTGACGTGCCTTCCTACAGTGGCAGCTTTGGTATTTTGCCGAATCATGTTCCAACATTAGCTGTTTTAAAGCCAGGTGTGGTAACAGTGTATGAAGAAGATGGAGCCTCAAAGAAATATTTTGGTGAGATCCAGCATCTTTAAAGACATTGATGCCTAACTATTGATAATTGGCTGTATATTTTATTGAATATTATTTAAAACTTGATTATTGAATATTGCTTAAAATCATGTTCTGTTTTGAATATAACCCTGATGTCTTGAAACTTCTTTTGCTGGGTCCAATTTCTTAGTGTAATAAATTTATTAGGTTGACTTATACTGGTGTATGTGCATAAATGCTTTTCTTGAATGTCATGAAATTGTGTCCTAGGAACTGGAAATTTTTCTGCATGCTAAACTGTATCCAATTTTATGGATATGCTAGAACTATATGCAAGGATACAATTTTTATAATACTAGTCATTTGCATGACCAGCCACCTAAAATTGTTATTATTAAATATATATATATATATATTATGATTTTAATGAATCCAGCTGATGCTATTCCAATTATCTAACTAGTAATTGAAGTGAATCTTGCTTCTCTAGCTCTGTCTTGATAAGGAACCAGAAGTAAATTTCCTAGGACATTGTCTTTTTCAGAGAGGTTGTAGAATTTAAGTCAAGACAAGGTCTTAAGGTTGAGGAATGATAAACACCTAACGGAGCAACTGGTTGACTTAAGTTTAAAATTTCTTAGGTAGTCAGTGAGTATTAAGTCATAATAACGTAGGAGCCATCTTGACGAGGTTAAACTTTGATGTTTTCTGCTGAGTGAATTTGCTTACATTGTGCTTGGAAATCGGAACTCAATCTTCAGGTTTAAATTGGAACTTGGCTTTGACGTGTATAAACATATTGTTTTCAGTACTCTTGGTTTCTTTTCAACCAATTCCTTTACCAGTTGACTGTGGTGCTAAATATGGAGTAATTTCTGCTATAAAATTATCATTAGAGATAATATGTGTAAGATCATGTGTAGCATCATTCAACATTGGAGGAATGCAGCAGTTTGGCTGTTGTTTTCACATTTAATAAGTATTTATTGCAAAATGAATTGTAGGAAACTTTTCTGCCCAAGAAGAATGTTTATCACCCACAAATATAGCTAATCTAGATTTTGAACCTATGTTTTTTTGCTGAACAGGATTTGCTTGAGAGGGAACATATGGTCAATCTAGAAGAAAACACTTGCTGCATGACAGCACTAATGAACTGAGTTCTATTATAACTGATTAGCTTTCAAGGCAATCCATATCATAAGAAGATCTCTTCAGTTAATGTAATTGCACATTCTTTTGCAGTAGCAGTGGGTAAAGCAAAAAGCTCTTTCCATTTCGTGTTACAAACGTCAGCCCTAAAAAAAATTTTTTTTTTTTCTTTTCTGTTGGTACTTTCAGGTAGTAGACCAAATATATCAACAGCAAGCATTTCCAAGTTTTGGCCATGTGTTAATGTTTGGAGCAACCCAGATGGTTTCTGATTTGAGGGTTTGTAACGATTATATTCGTCATAGTTTTTTACATAATCTGCAATATATTTGCACATTCCTGTGAAATAATACCTGTGAGAAATTCTGTGATATGTCACTTCAGCACCATAATGTCCTGCTGTACTAGTATCTTGATATTGCTTAAGAATTCTTTCTCACTCATGTATTGGTACTACTAGTTGAGCTTCCTGTGATTTGGAGTCTGGAGAATAGCAATTCAAATTTCCTTGATTTAACATAAAATCATGTCTGGTCCTGTTAGACAAATTTGCATCTTTTACTTCACTTTCAAATGATTTTATGATCTTTTTAAGATTCATATCTTCAGCTGTTCTCCATGTATTTCTGCTGCACTTTTGGTTGGCATTATGGTTACCGAACCATCTTCATAAAATTCTCCTTCATGGTTGCACACAAGACGTGGCAACATATCAGCCAAAAAATTAGCTCTTCTAGTGATGTATATTTTCAGACTAAAGGACTGTAGATGCATACATAGCCCACCCAGCAAGTCTACTTGTAGGTGACGTTAAGCATAAAACAATTCCAATGGTTTGTGATCAGATGCTGCTGCTGCAATCTCTTGATCATTAATATAGCTACAGAATTCAAGTCCCATACAACAACTTCTCGTTCTTTTGTAAAGTTTTTTGAACAGCATATTCTATTAGATCAAAAGTATGTTATAGTATACAGTCAAAAGTCGTTAATTCGGACACCCATAATTCGGAATGATCTATAATCCGGACCTCAAAACTAAAAACTTTCTGCGCATGCGCCGTGTTGACACATGCGCATAGGCGTTTACGCGTGCGCGTAAGACCTTTTACGACTGCGCATATGAGTGTGCGCAAGTGCAGAATACGTTTTCGCGTGCACGTTTTATGTATAATGGATGTATAAGCTAAAATTATCTAATTATCTATTTCAGTTAATGTTGATGATTGCAATGTTCCTTAATTTTCGAATTGGATCCGGCTTATTATTTTTTGTAGACTGTAAGAGCAATTTTATAAAAGTAAGCTTAAACTTTCGATTATATCAAATAGAATTTCCGATATATATTTGTTAACATGTAAAGGATCTAAAGCGAAAGTATGTTTTGAAATCCGAAATCTGTTTATCAATTTCACGCTACTCGGCGGGGGGAACGCCGTGGCGGGCGCGTAATGAATTGGAAGTTGATCTGTCAGCACTATCCTTATCTTCAGCGCAGATGTTTTTATTTTATTTGGCTTATAATTCCTTACCAAATGTAGTATTTCATCTCGATATGCTCCGTCTTTGATATGATTTAAAACAAGTTCCTCGTCATTATAATTCGCTTCCGATAGCGAAGAAAGTGACAGAGGTTATTGAAAACGAAAAAATTTCGATTGACAAATTAGTCGGTGTTCTCGACACAGCAATTATAGGACTTGAACAGCGGAACTTTGTAACTGAACAAGAAATTATGTCTGTTTAATAGAATTAAAGAGAAAGTATTATCACATGAAACGAAGCAAAACTTAAACAACTTAACATTGAAAGAAAAGTTTAATAAAGTAAACAAAAATAAATATTAAGCTTTTTCTTTTTGCAAATTTTGATACCCTTTAGATCATAATTGTTCTTTATTTCATAAATTACGTTTTCATATTTTTAATTTTAGAATTTCTGCATGCCATCTTTCGAGATTTAAACTGATGATCTATAATCCGGAAAAATCGATAATCCGGAATCGCCGAAGTCCCGACGAGTCCGGATTAACGACTTTTCACTGTATTAGAAAGTATAAATAGTATCAAAAGTATATAGTTTCCAGTATATTTTGCATTACTTTATTTAATAGTATAGTACATAGTATATTTTATTGTTAGTAATGTCATATAGTATACAATTTTTAAGTTCCATTATATTTATGTAGGTCGTATGAATATTCTATTTTATATAGCATTCTGTTTCATTTCACATGTGTGTTGAAAGCTTATTCTGCTTTTAGAATTGTCAGTCAGAATCAACTTTTAAATTTACAATAATATCTTGATTTATTCTCAACATGATATTGTCAGAAGTTAACCATATGTAAATATTCTTCCAAAGTTCAGTAAATCAAACCAATTTGTGCTATAATACAGTCAAAAATCTTTAATCCGAACCTCAAAGCTACAAACTTTCTGCACATGCGTAAATGCATAATGCATTTATGAGTTGATCTCATTAACGTTAGTTGATCTGTCAGCACTATCCTTATCTTAAGGGCAGATGTTTTCATTTTATTCAGCTTATAATTCCATACTAAATGTAGTATTTCATCTCGATGTACTCCGTCTTTGATATGATTTAAATCAAATTCCTCGTCACTATAAATATCACGAATACACATCGAATAGTTTCTGGTTGAAATTTTCTAATTTTGACTATGCGTAATGTATGTTTTACACATGCGCATGTTGAAATAAATGTTTAATAAAGTAAACAAATAAATATTAAGCTTTTTTTTTTGTAAATTTTGATACCCTTTATATCATAATTGCTCTTTATTTCATAAATTACGGTTTCATATTTTTAATTTTATAATTTCTGCATGCCATCTTACCAGATTTAAATTGATGATCTATAATCCGGAAAAACCGATAATCCAGAATCGCCAAAGTCCCGAACTTTTGACTGTATATTTTTGCTGTGTTGCTGAGAGAATCATTAAGGTCATCACAATAAATTTGGTTCCTGCAGATTAATCATTGTATGCAATTCAATTAAAATATATATTCATTTATTACTTATTTTTTTAAAAATATTTTTAACTCTATGCTAGACAATTACAAAATAATCTTACTATTATGCAATTTATATCGGCACTGTAGGCCTAAATTAAGAAACATAAAAAGATGAGAGTGGTATCTGTGGTTTCATTTTGGACAACAATTTCTTATTTTAGGTTCAGCTGTTGATAAATGTAAACAAATGTCTTGTTCTGCATTCACATAAATTCTGTATATTATTTTCATGCTTGTATAGAAGAGAATCTTGTTTTATATCGATATGTATTTGTGAAAGACAACAGCATTAGTTTTATTTTCTCAAAAAAATTTTGAATTCATCTTGTATGCAGTCAAAACTCCAGTAGTAAATTCTGAATGTGAGTTTTAGTTTGCAGTGGCAAATATCAAATCTGTATGGAGTTTGTATTCTGTTGAGTTATTAGGATGGGTCTTTTATTCATGCTGAACGTTGTGATTAGTATTAATTTTATACTCTTAACTTATTTTATACTCTTTGTGTGTTTTTTAAAAATATCTAATGATTGAAATGTAAATAAATATATAAACATACAGTCAGTCTGGGGTTTAAATTAGTATAATTTGAATGTGATAATAATATTCAGTTGCAATGCACTATCTGTGTTTCCAAAAGTACAGTGCAGAATATGAAACAGAGAAAACATACTTTGACAAATAAAAAAAAATCATATTTATCTTTGTAGCTTTATTGTGCGTAATTTAATGAAAGTAAAATATATAGAGCAATATGAAATCTAAAAGTCATATCTACTTTATAATTATATTTTTTAAATGTATGATTCTCTTTCTTTTATTAAAATCAATTAAAAGTAATTCTACATTTCCTGTGTGTTAATTAAAAATGTTAATTGAAAAAGTATTGTAGTCACAGTGTAATATAAAATTAATTCTTAATTTTTTTTTAGTAAGCAGTGGTTCTATAACTATCAATGATGATTCATCTGTACAAGTTTTGGCTCAAGAAGCAGTGCCAGTTGATAGACTAGATGCTCAAGTGAGTTATGCATAACTTTTGCTTTATTTATTCAAATATTCACATATAAAATATATTTGTTTGAAATGAGTACTATAATTAAAAGAGGAAAACTAATTAAAATATTTTTAATTAAATTTGTTTTAAATATATTTAGGTACTTTTCCGTTTTGCCGGCGCAAGCGATAAAGTCGCCAATAATGGTACAACCGATGCCAAAACGGAATATTCTCGCTGGTAACCTTTTAAGCCTCATTTCAAAACAGTCGCAGCTTTCTTATCAGATTGATTGTTTCTTTCAATACTGCATATATTACATAGAATTTTTATCAGATAGTTCAGTTTATGTCTAAGGCCATTTCGGTAATTAAGTCAATCAGGATGCAATCACGCTTAACCCGAACCGAAATATAGAAAAAGGTAAAGTCAAGTGTTAATTCATCAATTCTAACGAGAATGCATAGCAAAGTAAAGCACTGCGTTTACATAATTTCTGAGTAAGTATTCCGAATGAAATATTTCTGCATTTAAACTGTTTCCAATTCAAGATTTAACTTGAAAATGTAGATAATTACTGAGAGCATTTTTGTAGAGTTATTTACGTGAGTGATTCGTGGGTGTTGGTGTATAAACCGGCGAATCAGGATGTTGAACCATGAAGCATAGTAATTCTTAAATTAAATGTCTTTTTACAAATTTATGTCTTTTTTTGGCTTTTTATTTTTAAGCAAATTAATGTTTTTGCCTTCGAAAAAGGATTCTTAGAACTAACATTTTTTAATATTTTTTGTGTCTACTGTCTGTTGTCGCCCGTCTGCTTGGCGAGATTTGCGCCGGCGAACGGAAAGTAATAATTTATTCTTTCAGTTGAAAATTGCTATAATAACTTTATTGAATGTGTGAAGCGTATAAATTTTTTAGTAATGAGGGTTTCTGTTGCTCAAATTAATTTTTTTTAAAAATATAAATTTAACAAGTTAACTTGACAATGTGAAAAAGTTTGCAGATTGATAACAGCAGTGCTCTCAAAATCTTTGTGTTAAAACCTTGAAATTCCTTTTGAACCAAGAATGGTACAAGATAATTTGTGAGACATAAATACGTATTTTTGGACTTTACTGCACGTTTCTGGAGATGTTTCTTCACTGAACCCATTTCAGTAAATTTTTAAAAAATATAATGAAATGCATTTGTTTTAAATGATTCATTTATTGACATTCTGAAGTTAATTGTAAATGCTTTGTCTTATAGTTGTGGATTTCTTAGGTATAGGATGTTGATAAAAAATACCTGTAAGCTTTGCTTTCTTAATTGTCAAATATAGGCAAATAATACCAATTATAAAATTTCTTTAAATAAAGTTAAACATTTCATGAAAACTGCCTTAGTACCAGACATGGAATGTTTTGAAAAATGCAAAAAATCAATTAGAAAAGTGTTCCTGATATATTTAGTAAAATGCAGAAAATTCTGTACCTTTTTGTGCAATGTTTGTTTATTTTTGACCAAAATAAAATATTTCCCAAATCTTAGGGGACAGGTACTGAACAAATGGTGATTAATAAAAATTTAAGGCTATTTCCTTAAATATCCAAAAATTAAGGCCTTTAGTCAAAAACTCAGGAAATAAAGCTTGTACCAAACATTTTGCATATTTTTATAAAATAGGTGTTATGAAAATTGCTGTCATATGAGAATACCATCAAGTAAACAACTAACATATAAAGATGTGTTTTTAATATTAATCTTGGCTTGTATAACTCTGATATATGCCCTAATTTCACCAAATGTGGCAATATGTGTTCTGCACTGCTTTTTGGTGTGATTGTGTGTTGTATGGCAACCCTGTTGACGTTGAAAAATCTTTCACTAGAGTTCATTGGTTCACATCATGCTCTGTATCTGAGAAGCTAGGGGGGATAGATAAAATGGTGGAAGTTGTTGAATTAAAGTTCGGCAAAAGGAAATATCATTGTGGCCTCTGTGCGGGGCAAGTGGGTTGGCGGTGGAAGAGGGCGGGAGCTTCTTTCGTGGCTGTGCATGATAGAAACGGGTTGTGATTTATTTTGGACCAGAGTATGCTTTCGATAGTGCGTTCGGGTTCATATAAAGCGTAGTGATTGTGGCGGCCTGTAAGGCGATGAAATTGGTTTTGCTGTTCGAAAAAGCATGAATTCCTGGTACGGATTTTCTTTTTCTATTTGTAGACGTTAAGTTCCTTGTTTTTAGACTGATTCCTGTTGTATTGTTTTGAATTGTTTGAAATTATTTTAGTTATTTGTTGTTCGTGAATACTGTTCAATCGTAGATGTTTTTTTAAGTTGAAAAGACCTGTTTTACTGGTATTATTGAAATTTGTTGTTTGTTTTTTATTAAAGCGAGGGTGGTAGATTCGTTCCTTGCCTAAATTGTTCACTTCGTAGATGTTTTTTAAGTTTAACAGGGGGCTGTGACTGGTGTTCTTGAAATTTATGTTATGTTTATTAAACAGGTGGGGTAGTTGTAGTTCGTTTTGCCTTGGTTTGCAATTTGTTGTGTTTTTAAGTGAAACATATCGCTGTGTACATGGGTTTTGTCAATTTTTTGGTGCACTTCGTTTTGTATCTAAATTTTGCTTTGTTTCGGATTTTAGCTTAATTGTGTGTTCACGTGGTTTTGATAGTGAAAACCACGATTGGAGCATTAGCCTAAAGATTGAAATGTAGACAAAAAATTTAGATGTAATATGGCAGTGTGGAGTTTCTCGCCAAAAAGTTTGCTGACCTGAGGGCGCATATAAGGGGTTCCTTACGTCTTGGTGATTTATTTTCAAAATTGTTCTGTGTAAATAAATATTTACTGTTAGTGTTAAATATTTGCACCTACATCATTGCAAAGAAAATCTGTCTCTTAACCTATTTATGTGGATGCTAGTGTCATATCATTGTACCATATATAAAAGCAACTGGTGATTTATCACTGCTATCATGATAATTGCTTTTCACCAATAGTTTTTTCCAAGAAGTCGTAACACTTAATTTTAATATGGCTGGAATCTTATATTATGGGGGGAAAAAAAAAAAAAAAAAAAAAAAAAAACTCATGATTAATGTTTAAGTTGGAAGAGATCATTTCAATATTTTGAATGTTAAATAACGGAATCAAATTTTCGTCTATATTCTTTTAGTTCCATTAGAAATTATAGCCTAAACATTGTGAAAACTCCTATCTTGTTGGAATGTTTTGGTCTTATAAGTTAGTAAATGAATTGTTTTTTGGCATGTTATCAGGCTGTTTATCATATATCACTTTGCTAGATAGGTGCTTTGATATTTAAGTTATTATTGGCTGAGTGAGCCCAATATTCATTTCTTCTTGTTGTCATTTTTTTTTAAATAGAATAAACTTGGGTATGAAGGGTGTTCAAATAAAATGGTATGAAACAACACTGTGGTTATAATTAAAGTCTTTATTCACAAATAATCGCCAGATACCTGACAGCACTCCCACTGTTTCATGAACTGAAGGATTCCCTGGTTCCAGAATTCCTGTGGCTGAAGGAGCTAGTCCTCCATTATGTCTTTCTGTTCATCATCTAAGTTGAGTGCTTTTGTTTGAAATGCTTTTTTAGTGAAACAAACACATGAAAGTCTGGGCTGTAGAGCAGATGCTTAAGCTGTTCTCTCTTGAACTTGGCCATTACACTGTGTGTGAATTTTCGGCATGTATATGTGAGTTATCGTAGAGCAGCCCAGGCTGTTTGTTCTTGATGGACGGAGTTCATCACTGCATTTGAGGAATTCTAAAAGTATCTGACCTCAGACGTCAAAAAAGATGGTGAGCATCACCTTGCCTGCCGAGAGCACAGCTTTGAAGTTTTCAGGGGGGATGATAACGCATGCTTCCATTGCATGCTGTCCAGCTTCGTCTGATTCGAAGTGATGGCACTAGACGAAAGCAGAGGCTTCGTGATACCGGAACAAGTGTTGCTGTGCTAGGTCCATACACAGTTTCCTGGACACGGCATTGGTTCGCTGAGCGTCTTCGGAATCCACTGTGCATGCACCTTCCGGTAGCCTAACCTGTTCAGTGTTCCAACACGGGCCCTTGGTATCACTTATAACATTCGTGCTGTGACACATTGATAATTTCTCACCAGGTTATTCTCCTTGTTGATTGGCTGTGAAGAACACCTAAATTTAACCATATAAAGCAATACTATACAGGATAGGTTTCTATCTACATCAACACACCCAGCATTGAGCTAACTGGCATGTTAAACTGCATCACCTCCTGCTCGAATACAGCGTAATGCCATCCATATCACCTTCCATCACCAGAGATAATGGCTTCAAACAAAGTTTTTTTCTTAAGAGAATGAAATCAATTTCTTCTTTTACTTTTTACTATTGTAAATTTTAGTTACTCTAATTATCTGTGTTCTCATATATATTTTGTAATTTTAATATTTTTATAAAGCATACAGGTTTGGAAGACACGGGTAAAAGAATTTGCTGCTATGGTAAATCTTGCAATTGGATGATAGTATTCACAGTTGGTGTCATGCTTTTGCCTTAACTTAAGACTTTTTTTGCCTTAAGTCATGCTTTTGCCTTAGGCCAAGCTTAAGTCTTTCAGAACTCTGCTTTCTTTTCAGCCAATGGCTTGCTGCCCAGACCTTCATTCAGCTCATGCTCTCTTTCCTTTCTTCAGACGTTTGGCCCACTTCATTTATTTTCATCAGCCTATATCAGCCACTATTTGAGGTCAGTGCCAGCAAGCCTTCCCATTTTGCCTCGTGTTAGCCTACAGGCCACTAAAGCAAACCTAAAAGTAACTTAACGCTGTTTGTCCTTTGCTATAAGGAGTGGGTAGCACTACTTTTCCTCTGCTAATAAGGAGAGAGAAAACTCGGTATTCCAAACCGATTCAACCGTTACTGGTACGTAACCAATGCAAAACTGCAATTGCTTTAAGTAGCAGGAGCAGAGACTAGAGATTGTTATTGACTGTGGTCTCCTCAATAAAACTCCGGGACCTTTATGAAATGGCACCTTACTTTCTTGCTTACCTGTCAGACATAGTCTACTCTGTCAGCCCGCCTTCAGTGATGATATCAGTGGTTTAATTACTTTAGTCAGAGATTGGATAAACCTCACTGCTCCTCAGTCATCAAATTTTTCAATGTAAATGCTATGATGCTCTCGTATGCACTGCTGTGTCAACTGGACAGAACACGCAACTGCCTGCTTCTCCTGTATGTCATCTATGGTTACCTACACATGATGTGCACAACCACGCCGAACACTACACTCACACCTTAGTTGTCTCAGTAAGTTATCCCAAAGTGTAGTGTTCAAATTTTAGCCGTATTGATTGTTGCGACATTTCGTACCTTTTCATTTGAAACCAGCTCAATAATAAGACATTTTTGCTGGTTTTTCCCTGATAGACTGTCCAAGTTATATCATCGTGCTCCAGTAACAATGTATTATATAATAGCATGTTTACTTTTTCACAAATTTGGGTACTTCTTTCTGATTTTGTTTCATCGTTCCAGTTAAACTAGTGTTCTTTGTTTTTAACATTTGGGACAGATTTTGTGTAGTGAAATTTCTTTCTTTATTTTCAAAATGTTCTGTCAAACGCAAAACGTCGTATTCGGAGAGAGATAGATTTTCAGGATATTCCTCACGTTTACCCAAGTATGGAAAACCATTGAGCATGTATTTCCTATCAACATCTGCCGCAAGCCAAAACTTGATACCAAATTTATCTGGTTTACTTGGCATATATTGCGTGAAACATCCAGCTAAAGACGGAAACAGCTGTTCATTAATAGTTATATATGGTTCTGGTTTATAACAAGTTATCGAATTTTCAATAAATTTCTTCCAAACTTCAGAAATGAAACAGAATTTATCTGTTTAAAGGCATCAGATCATGTAGTTGTTTTGTCAAATCGCAGAAATTTCATAAGTTCTCTGAATCTATCTCTCGCCATAGCATCACATTGTACAGGAAAATTGGATACAGCATCTTCATCTCGAGGAAATATTTTTTTCATCTGGAGGCACATATTCATCATCACTGAAAACAATTTCTTCATCATTATCATTTTCCGATAATTGTCACATATATTCGAGGGCCTCACTAACTGTTAATTTACGCATATTTCTTCCAGTCATTTTCACCTAAGATCAATTTTATCTCAGCATGTAAACAAGGTGGCAAAAATCGAACAGATTGGTACACTGAAACTATCTTCAAGGCAATGTGAATAACCAGTTGTGCAGTCATAAAGAATAAGATATGCGCCCATTAGACTACCGCATTGGCTATGGTAGTATTGCACCACATTCCATTTAATAGGCCAAAGCAAAAAAACATTCCTTGCATATGCTTAACCAGAGGCATTTTGCCCATACGGAATGATAACGGGAGGGGAGATCTGCAACACTGGCTACTACTACGATGAAATTCTCAGCTGCTTTTCTGTTATCAGTAACAATCTACTGACCTTGAAGTATTGTTCTACTTATATCTCGGAAATGGAAAGAGGATTGAAAAAGCTTTTCCCATTCCAGGAAATGTTGAATTAAAAATTGAGTACTTGTGATTATAATGGGGTTGCGGTTTTAGGTATAAGTATTAAAAACAAAAAAATGATAAGTATTTAACGTATCATATTTTCACAGATTATTATTGGTATAAAAATAGGAAAAGTCAGAATTTTTCAATCTTAGTCACTGAGGCAAAAGACCCCATCGCATGTGTTGGGTTAAATAAGCTTGCACCCCCACAATCAGCAGTTGTCTGTTACCAACTAATGTGGCCTCTAGAAGCAGAATGCATTCTGTGTTATCTAAAAATCTCATCTTATATATATGCAAATTAATTTGCAATCTGGGATAGAAACAGAAGGAAGATGTGACATTAAAGGTCTAAATTAGAAAATAACTGATTAATAGTTTAATTAATTCTTTATTTTTAGCCTTTATGGAAAAGATTTCCTAACAATAAATGAAATCCATTTAATTAATAAATTCCATTCTTCCACCCCTTGTGGTTTTCAGCATTTTTTCCTTTTTTTGTTAAATTTAATTTCACCTGAATTGTCTTAATTTATTGATATCTGTAAGACATTTTTATGAAGATTTAATCTATTTAATTTTGTTTACAAAATGAATTAGCCAAAAATTAGAGAAGAATTGATTTAGCATTTTGTTCACAAAATGAAAGAATATAAATATAAAATTCAGAATATCTAATTAAATATTAGTATATTTTATATAAGTAAATATTTCAATAACCTGAATCACTCGTGAATTAAAGTCAAATTGAAGCTCTTTTGAAATGGCATTGGTGCACACTTTGAAAATTTCCTGGAAACTCCCAGATTTTCATATTTCAAGGTTAGCAGCTATTTTATGTAGATTATAATTGAAATAATAAACTGGTAAGGCAGGCATCCATTTTGAATAGTATGTAATCTGTGATACTGCTGAAATTTGAAGTATTGCAGATAGAAATTTAATATTTCTTTCAGACTAAGAAAAATTTAATAACTCATTTGCAGGCTTGTAGAGAAGGGCTAGCTAAAGCACAGCAACAGTTAAGTTCTGCTACTACTGAAGAAGCTAAAGCAGAAGCCCAGATTGCTATAGAAGTGAATGAGGAACTAGTGAAAGCTGCCTCCTAATCCTGGAATTTTTATGTAGATAAGCATATTGTATTACGTGTTCATGTTAAAATTTAGAAATAAATTCTTAGGAAATTCTGAACATTAAAGAAGGTATAATTATTTTTCAAAACTTAGAATTCTGCAGATATTTCATTATTCACATAACTGAAATTATTTGTCTTCTATGTTTCTTAGAATTTATACACCAGAATGTTTTTTAATAAAAATATTATTACTTGAAAAGTTTAGAATACATCTGAATGTTGTTTTAAAATTTCTGTATTAAAAGAAAATGTGAATATATGAATGTTATGAATATAAAGGAAATTTTTTCATTGTTAAAGGGGCATTAATACATTTTATTTAATTAAACCGAAAGTTTATAGGGTAAGGTGATAGTAGAAGTTCAAATAGTTTTACCTTTATGTTTTTTATAATGAAGAAATGTTAGAAATGAGCAACTGTAGAAAATTTTTATTCATTTTAACTAAAAAGAAGAAAATAGCATTATTAAAGCTTTAATACTATAAGAGGTGAAATACTGAATCTCAAAATTTTGATTTAATTATCATTTGAATTGGTAATATAGAAATGATTTACACTGTTCCTGATATTTATACTATTCCTCTGTTTCATATAATTTGGATGTTTTGAAGGTTTTTTGATGTTACTGAACATTGGCCTCGCCCATCAATTTTGAGAATTTTATTATATCAAAAAGGCTTTTTAAGTCCTCCAAATGCATCCTCTTACAATACCAGTTCTTTAGGTCTCTGACCTTCCCCCCCCCGACCATTACCAAAGCATTAGCGATCTCCGCAGCTCTTTGAGTTGCCATGACAACCTTTCCCGGAACTTAAAGGAATTCGCCTCCTGTTCCATTTTCTTTCAACCTGTTTTCGATACCATTCACGTGACGGTAATCGCCTCAATCCTTACCTCTTTCTGTCCTCATTTGCTGCGGCAGGAGGTCTTTGGCTCCTACCTAGACAAAGTTAGGAGTTGAAAGAAGTCTTCATCCTATTGTGTGGACTTCTTATCGATCTCTTGTACCCTTTAAGCCCTTAATGGTTCTCGTTCTCTACTTAAGCCATGCTTTACTCTTAATTATTCAGTTTTTCTTAATGAAGTTGTGGAGGTTATTGCTGTTTTCAGCAAAGGTACTCCGAAAGCCAACGCCTTGGTTCAAATGCATTGTAATTGAAATAAAAGTTTTTACTTTAAACCAGTTGCTAATAATTACTAATTGAAGCATCATAAAATATATAATTAATATGAAGCAAAGGAAATTAAATAATACTGAAAGTCGAGGTCTGATTATTTAATTTGAGTTGTATGATTCGGAAATCTAATAATCTTTTATTGATTCATCCAAAGTTAGCATAAATACAGTTTGACTTTTTAATACTGATAAATTTCCTTGTATTCTAATCCAGACTTATTGGGACTTTGGGAATTCCAAATTTAGGATTTTTCTGGATATTAGATCATCCGTTTAAACCTAGTATGATGACATGTAGAAATTATAAAATTAAAAATATGAAATACTAGTTTATAAAATAATGAAGCATTTATGACCTTAAGAGGATCTAAACATACTTTAAATGTAAGTTGTTTTGTTTCTTATATTAATACTTTCTCTTTAATTCTATAGATGGATATAATTTTCTGGTTAGCTACAAAGTTCCATTCTTCTAGCTACAAAGTCCTGTAATTGCCATGTCTACAATTCCCACCAAATTGTCGATTGAAATGTTTTTGTTTTCATTGTCAATAACAATTTTTCGTGAATTTAGAACCACACAAATGAATATGCCATTTGTTAGTTAATTGATGATTGGGTCCATTGTCATCGCAATGAAAAACTTCTGTTATATCATCTTCATTTATTACTTTGCATTTCTCCACAAACTCCATTAATTAGAAAAATTTCCTTTTTGTTTGCAATATCTGAAAACTTTTAAATTTGTGACTATCTCCATAAAGTTTAGCTAGCATTCGCTATACACTTTTGGCATTGCATCATAAGATTGGTAGCCAAATTTTGTCTTACTTCTACAGCAAGCTGATGAAATTAAGCCTGAATTATATTAGTTTATTTATTTATTATACTTACACCCGTTTCCTGCACTTGCAGGCTTACCCAAGTCTTGAATAAATAAATTCGCACATATTTATCTTATCAAGGGCCAGCGTGATAAATTTTGCAGCCTGTTGCAGTTTCGATATGTCCTAAATTCTAAAAAATAACCTAAATGTTGTCCTAAATTCTAAAAAATTAATTTTTTTCTCTAAATTCTAAAAATGTTACATACCCTAAATTCTGCTCTTTAGTGAGGCTGCACGAGCTCTGGCGCCAATCCTGGGCACTGGTCAGTTATTCTCATTTAAAAAAAAACACAAAATGTTATCTTTTGAGCCTATGAATACCATTTACAAGATCTATTTTTTGCATATGGAAATAAATTTCTTCTCGTCAGTGCACTTAATTTTTCGCTGTCCAGTTAGCCAAAATCTGAAATTATTGTCAAGTGTAATGTCAATGTAAAAGGTTACCATGCTCCTTGGTATTCAGTTATTGATATTTAAAACAAAAACAATATGCATTGTGTGTAAATCATTCCTCAAGCTGCTACTTGTTTGTGGTAATGAAGGCAGAAATAATAAGTAATGATTCACCAGCTTGACATCAGGGTTATAAATTATTCAGTAGGTGTAAAATCAACATATTTATAGATTATTCAGTAGGTGTAAAATCAGATGTTTTGATGTAGAATGTTTTGGTTTGAGATGTATGCCAGTATGAATATCTCCAGTCATTGGGATTCGTCAAAGTCTGAATTTCTGCAACCCTGTTAGAGACGAAGAGTTCCTAGACAGGGTTCGTAGCGGTCCTTATAAGTGCTTATTTTTTTTTTTGTTTGTTTCTTTTTTGTTTTTAGTGCTTATTTTTTGCTTTTAGTGTTTTTTTTAAGTGAATGCGCAATTTTAACCAGTACCAAAGCCAAAACTAAATAAACAACTTTTCTTCCTAATATGGAATGTCAGATGGTGAATCATACTCCAGGAAATAGCTTTTCCCCCTTTCTCTGCATTAGCATAACCTTTGGTGTGCGTGGAGAGTACAGACAAGTGCCCGTCATTCTGTTGGTCAAAGAATTGCGAAAGCAGTAGAAAATTCCGGTACATTCGGCATTCTTTTCCTCCCACCTAAATACTACACACGTTTGAATTTCTATCCAGATCTTAATAATTTGCATTCTCGTTGCGCTTGGTCAGTTCATATTCGTATTTATTACGATCGTTATGCTTATATTATGAGTATATGTATGAATCTTTATAATAACATAGTTGCAGTAACTGCTGAAGTATAGTAAACTTCAAAATGGCTTGTTTTAACACAGATTAGCTTTCCGGAATAATATTCGGATGGCTTAAAGGAAAGTAATCGAATAGTCAAAATAATTTCATTTTTTGGCCAATGCATTATACAGTTATGGAAATTGGGGGGTTCTCCCCTTTCTCCGCAAAGTCTCGAATATTCAAACCATTACAGTTCGTTGCAACAAAGCAAGCAACGGACTTTTTTACTTCCTTGTACGCAGTAAAAAGGAAGATTGTCGCGAAAAGTCTCAGGCAGCATATTTCAACGAAAATCCATTTTGACCGCTATCGAATGCAATTTAACGATGTTTCTGCGTGATATCTGTACGTAAGGACAGAACAAGATCTCTTTTCCTTCAAAAAATTATAAAACTGCTTTAAAATTAATTCTGAAGAGAATTTTTTGCGGGTCCGCATGAACGTATCTCATACTAAAAAACGAGTAGCCTCAGAACGTTGAAATTTTGTATATAGGACTGCTATAACATGTCGATGTGCACCTCGTATTTTGGTTGCAATCGGCAATGCCAAACATATATAAATCTATTTATATATCTATCCACTCTGTACCTGGCTCAATGGTCTCAGTTCTTTACTCTTATATGTTTGAAAGGCACATTTTTTGCTTTAAAAAATGATTGTATTATGTTGTTTTAATCTTCCGGTTAAGTATTTTATGCCTTTAGTAAATCTGTGTGCAATATTTTTAGAATTATCAGCAATTTTAAAGTTGTTTAAATGCCGCTAAGCCTGTTTTTAATGGCGGCCATTGATGTTTACCTTTGAAACAGGAGACTAGTGTATTTGTTGCCAATCTAGAGAAACTTAGCTTCGCAACAACAAAGATAACGCATTCATTTATTATTGCCAATTAATCATGCTTAATTCTTTCTGGAATTTTTTCGAGGAAATAGTGTTTGAGATTTACTTCGTTCATTTTTAATATAGATTTTGAGTTATTTTTGCCTTTTCGCGAAGTGAGAACTGATTAATTAAATGACAAATACTCAATCGTCTGTGACAACGTTTCTTTTTGTTTTGCTTAATTTCTTTTATACTCATTCTAGCTTTATTATGGTTTTGAATAGAACATGTGGCAACAATTAGAAATTCTATTCTTTAATGATATGAATTTTGTGATTAGAGGTTATAATATGGAACGAAATATATATGTTAACTGTATAAAATTGGGATTATAACAGTTAAAAGTAGTTTCTGTTCCGGAGTTTCGGTATATATATTGCACAGTTATGAGTTAATATATGAAGAAATATTATATTAACTGTTATAATTATTGGATTATTATTAACTTCTTTTTCTAAAAAAAAAAAAAAAAAAAAAAAAAACAAAAAAAAAAAAAAAAAAAAAAAAAAAAAAAAAATTTCAGATTATAACAGTTAATGCTTAGTTTCGGCGAGTTATTCAATCCAATAAGTATTAAGAAAAATATATATTTAACTGGTACTCACACTAATATTATAGGTGTTCCGATTGCAAATATCATGTAGGGAAGAATTACGGGCACATATGCGCATAACGATCGCAATATTTTCAGAGATAATTAATTTTGATGTTTGTCGATTCTTTATGAATGCATTATGTAATATGAACGAAATATATATGTTAACTGTTATATAATTAGTGGGATTATATAACAGTTAACTTTAATTTTCGTTATATAATTAGATTATGTAAGTGAATCTAGTGCCAGAGTGTCGCTATGGTAAACAAATACTAGAGTGAATTTTAAAGAATGCATTTATTCTATTGTGGTTTATGCGCTGTCGGCGAAGTAGATTTAATTCAATCCAATAAGTTTAAATGAAATGCAAGAAAAAATGCATATAATTTAACATTCC